TTTCTATGTCCTCATCAGGATTTAACATAAGATGAAGCGTCACACGTGTGGCAGCAGCATCATATCTGAAGGTAGAAAGAGTGATTTTAGAGTATGATACAGCAACGTCCAAAATTTAAAGTATCATCCAAAACTTGCTTGTTGTCCTCAAAGATCCTTCGTACAGAGTCTGGATCGCAGGGAAATTCTCTAATCAGTTCGTTAAGATTCAACTTTTGTGCAACCGTCATTTGCTTCTTGAATAACAAATACTATAGCCACAATCACTGATGAAACAAAGAACTCAGACCTTAACAGAAGTGAAGCCTTGTTCTTCTTCTTCCTGCTCTTGTAAAATTGATGCCAGCTTTGCGTCATGTTCATGCTGCATTTGATAGCCATCTGCAATTATTTGGTCATACAAGTCCATAAGCAATCAAAGCGTTGTAGTTATAGATAATCCAGTATCGATTATCACCACAGACAGCTAAACAGCGTATAATAGGAACTAAGATATAAAATCATCACCTCCCTGCCATACCAGATACAACTGCTCCAAAAGCCACAAAGGTACACTTACGCTGCATTCTTCCTCAACCACTGCCCCGTTTCCTTCAAAAGCCGATTTTAAAAAATTCTAACGAGCACCTGAAAAACTGTCGTACCAAAAACGACGCTCATTTTCTGCAGTATGTCCACACCCAATGTAACATGAATAGAGTCGGCTTGTGATGGTGTTGTAGATCGTGGTGGCTCTGTCTGTGTTGGAGACATTTCAGCTTTTCTATCTGTAATAACTGAAAAAGATATGCACGAGAAAAAACCTGTTAACTTAGTACTGAATGATCATTGAGCTAAAGTTAATGGAACTCGTTCCAGAGAGATTATTACTTTTATAGAGCAAAATAACAAATTGTCAAGTATGAAACATCTTCTTTGTTGCTTTAGGTGAAATTAGAAGTAGAGTAAATTATTTCAAACGTTCTAAGTAGATAGCATAAAGCTGAACGAACACTAATGATAACAGCTAAGCATCATTTATGTCAAGGAAAAAAATTTTAAAAATGTTCTTTTAACTCAGAGCAGAGCAGATCTTAACTAGATAGCATATCAAGGAAGTGATGGCTGCACGCAACTAAACCAACAGCCAGTCTGCTAAACCCAAGACTGACTCGCATATGGTAGATTAGGCGCACCCAAGTGTCGCCTGTTATGGCCTTCTGCGCTTACAATTACACAATAGCACAAGTAGAACAAATATCTTGACATGCCCTGACAGTGTAGGCCAGAGCCTTATTGCGTAATTTTACGGCCTCGCAGCGAAGATTTATATTGCAATTTGAATCAGATTTTCTTTATCAAATTAGGTTTCAGGATGGGAAAAGCGAATTTGCTGGCTATATGACAAAACTACTAATCTGAAAATAAATTTATATCAACTGTGCCGTTATTTATTTATGACTAACTACAACCTCTAGAGTATCTACATAAAAAAGGCAATTGAATTCAACGATGATCACATGAAATGGCGCAATATTCTAACTACATACA